GGCTGTCGTCGTACAGGAGCCGCCGATGGACCTGCAGGGGAGGGCGGTTACGTCCCGGCATACCCCCGACCCCAGGGACCGCCTGCACTGCGTCCCCTCACCATACCATGAGCTCCAGGGAGCCATCGAAGATGCTGCTGCCGCCCTGCGAGCGGTCCGTCAGCACAGTCAGCTGGAACTTCTTGTCCTGCGGGCAGGGAGGGAAGTGCCACACGTGTGATGAGTTCTGCCCAGGGCTCGGCCCCCTGTTTCCATGCTACTGCCCCAAAGCCAGTACCTTGATGAAGATGCGGCTGGTAACGGGGGAGTAATTCCCCGCCACAGGCTCCGTCTGGCTCAGGTTCCACGTAGGACGGTAGTCGCGCCTGGGGATGAGGCAGAGCCCGGTTACAGGGAGGGGGACGGGGGTCTCGGGGGGCCCCAGCGAGGGCCCGGGCCGCCCCCAACCTGCGCTCCAGGATCTGCCGCCCATTGGAGTCAGTGTAGAAGCGAGCGTTCGTCTGCAGCGTTGTCTCGAAGCGGCTGATGATCTCCTTGCCCCAGCCGTCCCTGGGAGAGGCAGGGGCTGAGCGGGGGGCTCCAGGGGGGCCCCCCCTCCCCAGGGGCTCCCCCTCCCTGACTCACGCCACGGGGATGGGCCCCACGGTCCACTCCAGCTCCACGTAGGGCTGCCCCGCATGGAGCCGCACCACCTGGGAGCACCACGAGGAGAAGTTCTGGTGGACCTCCTGCACCAGCGCGTTCTGCGAGGGACATGGCGGGGTGCTCAGCACCCTGGGGACACCCCCAGCCCCAGGGACACCCCCGCGGGCACTGTCCCCACCACCCACCTTCACCAGGTGCGCAGAGACCCGCTTGGAGCCAGAGACGGGGATGGGCTCGGAGCTGTTGGGGCGGAAGATGTAGGCGCCCGAGGCCTGGGAGCTCTCGTCGTTGCCGACACTGGCGTTGTACCTGGGGCAAGAGGAGGAGGCGGTGGAGGAAGGTCCCACGCGAGGGACCCAGGTGTCCAGGCCCCACCAGCGCTCACCAGTAGAAGCTCTGGAAGACGGGCAGCGAGATGCTCTTGTCCAGGTTCTGGATCTCCTTCAGGTGCCCGGTGAGGGGGTCAAAGAGCACCCGGACGTGCTGCAGGGACGGACAGCAGCACGTTGAGCATCTGCCCCATCCCTTCTCAGCCCCCTCCCGCACCCCCAGCTCCTCCCATCACCCCAGGACTGGTTTAACTGGGCCAACAGAAGTGCGACTCCACCGGGGGCTTTAAGGTCGTGGGTTTTCCCCGCCAGGGACCAGCTCCAGCCCCCAGGACCCCATGGGGAAAGAACCCCAACTGCATCTGCCCAGTGCCCAGCACTGGTGGGGGGAATGCATCCCCCCAGCGGGACCGTACCTCATTCTGGATCTCCCGAGGCTGCGACAACGCTGGGGCCCGGGCTGGGTGTGCACGGGGGTCCCCGCGGCTCAGCCGGGAGACTGCGAAGGTGCTGAAGCCCAGCGGGGGCACGGAGGCCTGGAAGAGGAGCTCCCGCGTGGCGCTGCCGCTGTCCCC